TTCCAATGCATGCAACTTCTCCTCTTTAATTCAAATGAGAGAAGTTCAAAATCTTGTTCTCTATACTCAATACTACTTTGATTAAACTTTTCTAGAACAAATTTTTCTGAATCACTTCACACATTTGCCTAAACATTTACGTAATTGTTGCGTTTTTAGGAATGTGAAAGCCATCAGCATCACAATATTCTCTAGCAGCATGAGGAATGAGTAATCTCACCACCATATGCATCCTTAATGATTCTTTAATTACTACTTCTAAGTATTTGAAGTGCTCCAAATCCTTCTCCTGGCCTCCACCATTCTATCGAGCCCTACATATGGGAACAATAGTTATGTTAATCTTATTATTAATCAATCCATGATGATTTTAAAGTACATGATAAAGAGATGTATTTATAAGGATATAAAGAATCTCAGTTAGGATAGGAATAATAAATGATAATATTCTTAATAATATAAGAAGGGAGAATGAATTCAAGTGTGACTAGAATATAAAGTCCTAATACATGGCTCTCTATTTCTTCCTTTACCTTTTTCATTATCTCCGGATGTCAGAAGAGTTTTGACATTGTCCGTTCTATGACAGAAGATGATGATATATCCATTGAAGCAATAATCATATCCTACAATGATATGATTAACATTTAATGGAAAAACTTATGATTAACATTTAATGGAAAAACTAAGTAAAAAGCTAATAAATGAATCTATGGAAGTTAATAAATATGAAAGTGTTACTGCGTGCCTAATGTCTATGGAAGCTTTGTAAGTGATTAATGTCTACTTATTTATCAAATAATTAAATTCTTAAAATTATGTGTTATGTGTACAATAATTTATGTTGCAATTAATTAAAATTAGCCAAAAAATTAGTCCCTAAATACTTACAATTAGTACCTACCTGGCGTTGAATAAAGAATATGCTTAGAAGTCTCCAAAAAGCTAGTCGAATAGGAGGAGTATAATTTAATTTTATATTTAAAGATCACAAGTTCAATTCTTTTCAATATAATATTAATTGAGTCCATCACACAAAATCTTTCTAGTGCAATTTAACTCTTTTATATAATTTAGGAATTATTAAACAAGATTAAAATTTACTAAACACACCCTTTAATGATGGCTACACTTGACCTCGTCAACCAAGAATATGCTTAGAAATTTCAGTGGAGTCATTCTCAATGGAATACATTCACAATCCTGTCTAAAGACATGCGATTAGAGTCCAACAAAGCGTTGGAATTTAGTGAACTAATAATTAATTATTTAGTTGTTGGTCTACGCGAGTGTGAGGTATCTTCCAAACAAGTATTAAAAAAAAAAAAAAAAAGAAAGAAAGAAAGAAATGTAACTCCAAACGAGTTTATTAGACAATTGATTTAATAATTACAATGTTTTAAATTTAATTTTTTATGAAAATTGTATATTAGTTTTCTCGACTTGAATTGGTTAACAACATAAATTGGTTTACTACTTTGTAATATTTTACCAAAGATTACAAGACAGATTTCACCAAAAATGCATCATCGGACAACGGATGCAAATTTCCCATAAATGGAAGTAGTATACCCAAAAAATGAATTTAACGTTTTATTTATCATATAAGTAATAAATATTTTATTCTTTATTCGTATTACATTTTTCAATATAAGTATTATATTTTATATTGACCCGACTCGTCCCATGGACAAAGATTAATGTGACAATCTCACACAAGTTTTTGTTTAATTTCTAATGGTATATTAAAATATACGGAGTAGTAAGTAATGAAACATAATAATTTTTTAAAATAAATTTTATTGTTTTAAAACTGGCCCATGAAACCTACCAACCCACACTAGGTGGGTTGGCAAATTTCAAAACGGCGTTTTGGGAGAAAACGACACCATGTTAAATACAATTTTTTTTTTTTGCTTTCTTTCATTCGCTCTTAATAGCGTTTGCCTTCAGGAAGTCTATGTTCATAATTCATGAACTTTATATTCATAATTTTTGAACTTTATATTTACAATTATTGAACTCTATATTCACACTTACATGATTCTATGTTCATAATTTTTGAACTCTATAAGTCTATGTTCATAATTATAGAACTCTATGTTCATAATTTTTGAACTCCATATTCACAATTATTGAACTCTATATTCACAATTACAGAACTTTATGTTCATAATTATCGAACTCTATGTTCATAATTTTTGAACTCATATTCATAATTTTTTAACTCTATATTCACAACTGCAAAATTCTATATTCACAGTTACGTAACAATATATTTACAATTTTTAATGTTGCTGAATTCTTTTGATAAATCTTTTTTAAAAAAAATTAATTGGTGATAAGAAAATGATACCACTAACGATATCGTTATTTCCGAATTGTAGAACGGTGTCGTACTCAACTCGTGTTCACAAGGTGAACACGAGTACATGGCATAAAAGTCCAGGTGGGTTGGGGCTATAAAATTTCAACGCGTAGACTAGCTAGACCTAGAAGCGTATGCAATTATTTCCACCCACGATGAGATAGACCGCAAATTTATACTGCATTTCTTATTCGTTTTCTCCACTTAACCATTGGCGACTAATATAATATTCACTTTTTTTTTTTTTTTTTTTTTTACTACCAAGTGAAATATGCGGTCATTCATAAAAAAGAAAAATTGCTCATAACTGATCAACTTAAATAAAAAAAATTAATAAATTTATCATATTAGAAGTCGAACTTGTAATCTTACGATTTTCTATAATTAATAATCTGATTAACTTGGCTAGAGTTGTCCATATTGAGTATTGACATATGTTGTGCACAATGAGAGCCACCTTTTAATACTATTCTTTATGATTGTTTCATTTTACCTATTTTGTTTATTATTTATTGGTCAAATTTATATACTAATACTTAAATTTAATATTATATTAATATATAATTGCATCACAGCCGCCTGTGTATACCGCCTTAATATAGTCCTAAACTCCTAAGGTCCTCCCACCCCACTAGAATATTTAAAAGAATTTCTCTTACCAATTTTTCTAATATAAATAAAATCAATCATTCAAATATACTAAACTATAACTAGAGGAGTGTCCAGGAAATATCCAGAATTATTGTTTAAAGTTTTGTTTATGACATTTGTTTATAATTATAACTGGTTGCTTGTGTTCTCTGAGATGTGTATGCGACCATAGCCAATTGATTCAAACCAAAGATATTAATACACCTATCATGTTAGAGTCTGACTAATTTGGCTAGAGTTGTTCATATTGACATTTGTTGTGCACAATGAGAACCGCCGTTTAATACTACTCTCTTCGATCTGTGTCATTTTATCTGTTTTGTTTATTATTTATTGGTCAAATTTATATACTAATACTAAATATAATATTATAAATTATTGAATTAAATAACTTCAATCAAGCTGACTCGTTAACTGTAATAGGTGGCAAATTATGCTGTGCATCCGTATGCACCATTACGGATGCAAAAACGACGTCGTTTTAATAAAACGCGCATCTCCCCTTAAAAAAAATCAGGTTCGATTCCCGGCAACAACATATGAACTAAAATTCCATAATCGATGAACTATAATTCCATAATTGATGAACTATAATTCCATAATCTAATCTATGAACTAAAAATTCCAGAATGAATGAACTAAAATTCCATAATCTATAAACTAAAATTTCAGAATCGATGAACTACAATTCCATAATCGATGAACTATAATTCCATAATCAATGAACTATAATTCCATAATCTATGAACTAAAATTCCAGAATGAATGAACAATATAATGTTGTTGCTGGGAATCGAACCTGAATTTTTTTTAAAGGGGAGACACGCTTTTTTTAATAAAACGACGTCGTTTTGGCATCCGTATGCACCATGCATGGTGCATACGGATGTCCAGCATAACTATCCGTAATAGGTCGTGTACTGTCCAATCAATTTCGCGTTTTATTGTTTTTTGTTTTGTTTTATGATATTTATTACGTATAAAATCATAATAAATGACACAACATCTAAACCAATCTCGTTCTAAAAATGTGGATGACAACTGAGGTTCATGGCATCTGGGCTGAGAGATTTGTCAAGAAACCTAGAGTAAAGAGTGGCTTTAACTTCACCTTATATCATTTACATTGATATTTATGGATTGAAATATAGAACTTGAGAGGTTTTAATACACATTTTTGGGATGTTTGGCAATCGGTTGATAGTTGATAGTTGATGGAGTTAGCTGGTAGTTAATAGCTTATTATGCTAGTTGTTTTGACCAGCTAATTGTATTAGCTAGTTATAGAAAAGTGTTCGGTAAATTAGCTATTTATTTTAATTGATTATATGTAAAATGACCTATACGGGCATTGTATTAATTTCTTAATTTTATAATTACATTTACAAATTATTATTATTATTATTATTATTATTATTATTATTATTATTAACCATTTGACCCAAACCCACGACCCATTTGTAAACCAAATCTCTACCCATTTTCTCTATACCAACACAGACGCGAAGAGGAGCAGTGGAGAAGGAGGCCATGCAAGCTAGAATCAGAGGGGCGAGAGGAGTGGGCAAGAAAAAATAGCGAGAATCAGATGACTCGGTTAGGTTTTTTCATTGTTTTTTTTTTTTTTTTTTTTTTTTTTTTTTTTGAATTAAAAAATATAGGTTGTTGTGTATTCTGACTTTTGTGATGGGTTAATAAATGAAGTTACTGCTCCCTTCATCCATAACTGACAAATAACAGATGTATATTATATACATACAATTATGAGAATAACTGTAAAAGGAAATATGATAATGACCACAAGAATTATTATATTTACAACATTCTTATTCTAATTTTAATATATTAAAGTGATTGAGATAGACTTAGGGAGTCTCTCTGTGTGGTTTTTTAAATAAAAAACTACAAATGGATAAGACACATAACATAATAATACTATAATAGGGATCCTGAATAAAAAATAATAACAATAATATAATAATACAGAGACAAAACGAATACATTATTGGTGAATTATAGTGTACATGATTTGAATTCAAGACAATTTTGACTAACTTTTAGAAGACAAAGTAGCTGTATGTAAGCATTTATTTAGTACAAAATACTTTATTTAATTAATTTTTAAAAGGGAATAACATTTTAAAAATTAAATACATAAACGGTATGCAGGAATAGCCATCAAATGCTTGGCTCGACTTATCACAAGACTGGATTCTCCAATTATATTCAAGTCTTTGGGTAACATTCCATCAGGAAAACTCCAATCAAAGTAGTGGATTAGTTGTGCTACCACTAATCGAATCACAGTTATTCCAAGTTGCATTCCTGAACAACTTCTCCTCCCTGACCCAAATGGGAGAAGTTCAAAATCTTGACCTCTGTACTCAACACTACTTTTATTAAACCTTTCTGATTTTTTTTTTTTTTTTCTGAATCACTCCACACATTTGGATCACGTCCAATTGCCCAAATATTTACTGTAACTGTTGCACTTTTAGGAATGTGAAAGCCATCAACATTACAATCTTCTCTGGTTGCATGAGGAAGGGGTAATGGCACCACCAGATGCATCCTTAATGATCCTTTAATGACTATTTCTAAGTATTAATAATTGCATCACAGCCGCCTAGGAGAAGACCACAAAACGTACTGTAACGTTTTTTTTTTTTTTTTTAAAGTCACTGGCTCTATTACATTGTAGTATCTGTTCATATACTTTCTCAACCTATTGAAACACAAAGAACCAATAACGCCTCCACTGAGGCTCGAACTTATAATCTTCCAAATGGAAGTCCAACCCGGATACCATTGGACCACATAGTCCTGTAACGTAATTATATACTTAGTCAGAAAAATATTTTTTTCCAGCATGTGTATGCCGCCTTAATATAGTCCTAAACTCCTAAGGACCACCCACCCAACTAGAATATTTAAAAGAATTTCTCTTACCAATTTTTCTAACATTAATAAAATCATTCAAATATACTAAACTATATCTAGAGGAGTGTCCAGGAAATATCCAGAATTATTGTTTATAGTTTTGTTTATGACATACATTTGTTTATAATTATAACTGGTTGTTTGCATTCTCTGAGATGAATATGCGACCATAGCTAATCGACACAAACCAACGAGACTAATAGATTTATCTTGTTGAGGTTGAATCGAACTTATAATTTTGTGGTTTTTATAATTAATAGTCTGACTAACTTGCCTAGAGTTGTTCATATTGACATTTGTTGTGTACAATGAGAGCCGCCGCGCCGTTTAATACTACTCTCTCTGATTTGTGTCATTTTATTTATTTTGTTTATTATACTCTGGTCAAATTTATATATTAATACAAAATTTAATATTAAGAAAAATTGAATTAAATAACTTCAATTGAATTGACTCATTAATTGAACTGAACACATAAATTGAGACGGAGGAATGTGGCCACAGGAATTTTAAATTAAAGTTCAATTTGCCGCTCCCCGAGGCTGTATGTTATTGACGTTAAGACAAATATATTTCTACGAACTTTCAAACATAAATAAACTAAAACATTTATATATCATTATAATATGTTGGAGTAGGTCGTGTAGACGGTGTAGTGTCCAATTCCAAGTAATTTCGCGTATTATTGTTTTTAGTTATGTTTTATGATATTTATTACGTATTATAAAATCATAATAAATGACACATCTAAACCAATCTTGTTTCAAAAATGTTGATGACAACTGAGGTTTATGGCATTTGGGCTGAGAGATTTGTCAAGAAACATAGAGTAAAGAGTGGCTTTAACATCACCTTATATCATTTACATTGATATTTATGGATTGAAAAATAGAATTTGAGAGGTTTTAATACACATTTTGGGGTGTTTGACAATCAGATCAGCTGATAGCTGATAATTAATAGCTGATTGTGCTAATTGGTTTGATAAGCTAATTGTATTAGCTGGTCGGTTATAAAAAAGTTTTTGATAAATTGAATGTTTACTTTTAACTGATTGTATGTAAAATGATCTGTAAGGACATTGTGTTAATTTCTTAATTTTATAATTACATTTACAAATTATTATTATTATTATTATTATTATTATTATTATTATTATTAACCATTTGACCCAAACCCACAGCCCATTTGTAAACCAAATCTCTACCCATTTTTTCTATACGAAATCAGACGCCAAGAATCAAAGGGGCTAGAGGCAGTGGGCAAGAAAAAATAGCGAGAATCAGATGGCTATGAAGATGAAGATGACTTGGTTAGGTTTTTCCATTGTTGCTGTCGTTTTTTTTTTTTTTTTTTTTTTTTTTTTTTTTTTTTTTTTTTGTGAATTAAAAAATATAGTTTATTTGTTTGTTGTGTATTCTGAGTTTTGAAGATGCAGATGACTTCTGTGATGAGTTAATAGTCATTTTCATTATTTTATATTAAGATAATTCTCCGTCATTGTATTTAAAGATGATATTAAGACGAGTTAATAGTCATTAATGCAAGTTACACGTTCAGCACTCCATCAACAACAAAGGACACTGTAGAGAGAAGAGAAAGGAAAGTGAAAATAAAGAGGAAGACTAGAAATGAAGTTACTGCTCCCTTCATCCATAACTGACAAATAACAGATGTATATATACATACAATCATGAGAATAACTGTACAATTAAGGAAATATGATAATGACCACAAGAATTGTTATATTTACACATTCTTATTATAGTTTTAATATATTAAAGTGATTGAGATAGATTCAAGGAGTCTCTGTGTGTGTGTGTGTTTTTTTAAATAAAAAACTACAAATGGATAAGATACATAACATAATACTATAATAGGGTCGAGAATGAAAAATAATAACAATAATATAATAATACAGAGACAAAACGAATACATTATTGGTGAATTATAGTGTACATGATTTGATTGAATTCAAGACAATTTTGACTAACTTTTAGAATACAAAGTAGCTATAAGCATTTATTTAGTACAAAATACTTTATTTAATTTCTAAAAGAGAAATAAATTTTAAAAATTAAATACATAAACGGTATGTAGGAATAGCCATCAAATGCTTTGCTCGACTTACCACAAGACCGGATTCTTCAGCCATATCCAAGTCTTTGGGTAACATTCCATCAGGAAGACTCCAATCAAAGCAATGGATTAGTTGCGCTACCACAAGTCGAACAACAGTTATTCCAAGTTGCATTCCTGGGCAACTTCTCCTTCCCGACCCAAATGGGAGAAGTTCAAAATCTTGACCTCTGTACTCAACACTGCTTTTATTAAACCTCTCTGGAATAAATTTTTCTGGATCACTCCACACATTTGGATCACGTCCAATTGCCCAAACATTTACCGTAACTGTTGCATTTTTAGGAATGTGAAAGCCATCAACATTACAATCTTCTCTGGCTGCATGAGGAAGGAGTAATGGCACCACCGGATGCATCCTTAATGATTCTTTAATGACAATTTCTAAGTATTTAAAGTGCTCCAAATCCTTCTCCTCCACCATTCTATCAAGTCCTACATGGCTCTCTATTTCTTCCTTTACCTTTTCCATTATCTCCGGGTGTCGGAAGAGTTCAGACATTGTCCATTCTATTACAGATGATGATGTGTCCATTGAAGCAATGAGCATATCCTACAAAGACCAAGATTTAATTTGTTAGAAAAAGTAACAAGCTATTAATGTATGTGTAAGACCATGTGATTATTTTAAGGAATTTTATAATTACCAGCATAACAGACTTGACATGCTCTCGAGTGAATTGGACAGGAGATTCTCCAGACCTCATAATTTCCAAAATGGTATCCACAAAATCCTTAGTTGTTTCAGTGTTTCCTTTGCTGGTAGCTTGTTCATGCTCATTAATGATCTTCTCTAAAAACTCGTCGAAGAGCTGACCAACGGTCTTCATTCGTCGAGTCAATCCTTGAACATCAAGCTTACCAAGAAGAGGAAAATAGTCGCCGAGATTAGGGAGAGCTGTGATCTTAACTGCTTCTTGAATCACAGCCTTGAATCCCTTCTCATCAAGGTCTTTATCCTCGTACTTCTTCCCGAACACCATTCTACAGCTCATGTTTGCACTCAGGGAAGAAACTTTGACGCTCAAATCAACAGCTTCGCCGTTCTGGGCTGCTTGCTTGAATGATTCTACGAGAAGACACAGCTCTTCTCTTCTCATGGATTGGTATGAATTGATCTTGAGATTGCTTAGGAACTCCAAGGTGCATAGCTTCCGAACGTTTCGCCAATAGGGACCATATTGCCCAAAAGACAAACCTTTTTGGCCATTTGAGATGTACTTAGCAGCCTCGCTAAGTGGTCTGGTGGCGAAGTTGAGATCGTGGGTCTTGAGAAACTGCTTGGCGGCTTCCGGCGTTGAAGCGACGATGTTGTCGACAAACCCAAACCGCAAATGCATAATAGGGCCGTAGGTTTTTGCCAGTTTCTGCAAATCTTGATGGGGATTCTTCCCAACCAAATGGAAGTGTCCCAAAATTGGCACCCCTCTGGGACCTGGTGGCAGCCTCTTGCCTTTCTTCTCCAGAAAAGCTTTGAAGATGGAAAGTGCAGCGAGCGCTGCAATGGCAGTCCATATCCATGCTGGGTTCATCATGGATTATTGAGATGATAAATACTGAATTTTGTTATAGATATTGGTAAGCAAGGAAGTAATGTTCGTTGGGTTTACTGATGAACTGGAGTGGCGCTACTATACCATATTTATACTGAATTTCTTCTCAGTTTTCTTTCCGAATTCACCAATGGCGGGTGATATTATATTCATATATAATTGCATGGCAGCCGCCTTGGTCTTGGAGAAGACGACAACACCTACTGTAATTATATACAAGTGATCGAAAAATATTATTTTCCAGCATGTGCATGCCGCCTTAATATAGTCCTAAACTCCTAATTAGGGTACGGTCCTCCCATCCCACTAGAATATTTAAAAGAATTTTTCTTACCAATTTTTCTAACATAAATAAAATCAATCATTCAAATATACTAAACTATAACTAGTGAGTGTCCAGGAAATATCCAGAATTATTGTTTATAGTTTTGTTTATGTTTATAATTAGTTCGATAATGGTTGATTGTAGGTGTTAGTCTCCAAAATCTAAATAACTTGCTATTATATTGGTTATTCATCAATTAATTTTTGAGTTTTTTTTTTCAAAGTTTTAAATGCACCAAAATATATAACATATTAATAGATTTAATTGCATCTTTTAAATTTGAATAAAGTTTAAGTTCCTATGAATGAATCCTTAAAAAAAAAAAAAAAAAAAAAAAAAAAGTTCCCATGAATGAGATCTAGAAACTTGCCTTTCGAGGGAAATGGGTTAGAGGTTTCCTATCAAAGATAGAATAATCACCGATAGTAGTACAACATAATTGTAGGCAACTTATTATGGGCTTTGTATTTGTTTAAAAAGCAACAAGGTGGAGTTGCAAAGTTGGCAAATTATGGCAATTTATATCCTACACCACGGCGCGCGTTGCACTATGCGTCCAGATACAAAACGACGTTGTTTTAATTTTTTTTTTTTTTTGAAATTTCCCACCCCAGTGAATGGTAGTAGTTTTTTCTTTAAAAAAAAAACCCGTTGTTCAAGAATGTACATAATGTTATACTAGAATACACATAATTTGAATTGTGAACATTCAGTATATAAATTATGTATTTTGATCTAAATCCACTTTACAAAATGGACCGAATCAGTGGCATACTATTGTAATTTCATAGTCACGATCAAGAAGATTATCTTGGCAAAGGTTGATACAGGTCTACATTACTACATAGTAATATAGATTTATGGGATCAAAGAACTCTTAGATACGAGAGGCAAGTTTCGTTTCAGGCGAATTATATCATGGCCTACCTTAATCTAAAATAACATTCAGATTATAAATTTGTAGTTGAGATTCTGTACTTGCAGTTAACAATTGATGTGTATGTAATTTTTCTCTTGAATAGTGGCTGTCAAGCAAATACGACTTTAGTTTATAAACGCATCACCGACCTTTTGCATAAGACAACGGCGGCTGTCGCGAGCGAATAGGAGTATAATATTTCCTGCCAATGGTGAATTTGTATAGAAAACTGACAATAATTTGATTATAAATGTGGTAGCTTAGCTGCCCTGTGAACTCCACAAACTCGTAAACATTGCTTTCTTACCAATATCCATAACAAAATTATCAAGCATTATTATATTCATCTCCTTCATTTCCATGGCGTGGGTTTGGACAGCCTTTGCAGTGCTTGCCGCCATTTCTGTCCTCAAGGTGTTGTTTATGAAGAACAAAGGCGGCAAGAAGCTGCCGCCAGGTCCCAGAGCGCTGCCAATTCTGGGACACTTTCATTTGATAGGGAAACATCCCCATAAAGATCTGCAGAAACTGTCCAAAACCTACGGCCCAATCATGCACTTGCGGTTTGGGTTTGTCGACAACATCGTCGCATCAACGCCGGCCGCCGCCAAGCAGTTTCTCAAGACCCACGATCTCAACTTCGCCACCAGACCACTCAGCGAGGCTGCTAAGCATATCTCAAATGGCCAAAAAGGTTTGTCGTTTGGGCAATATGGTCCGTTTTGGCGCAACGTTCGGAAACTATGCACCTTGGAGTTCCTAAGCAATCTCAAGATCAATTCATTCCAACCCATGAGAAGAGAAGAGCTGTGTCTTCTCGTAGAATCATTCAAGCAAGCAGCCCAGAACGGCGAGGCCGTTAATTTGAGCGTCAAAGTTTCTTCCCTGAGTGTAAACATGAGCTGTCGGATGGTGTTTGGGAAGAAGTACGAGGATAAAGACATTGGTGAGAAGGGATTCAAGGCCGTGATTCAAGAGGCAGTTCATCTCACAGCTCTCCCTAATCTTGGAGATTATTTTCCTTTCATTGGTAAGCTTGATGTTCAAGGGTTAACTAAACGGATGAAGGCCGTAGGCAAACTCTTTGATGAATTCTTGGAGAAGATCATTGATGAGCATGAACAGGGAAAAATCAAAGGTAACACCCAAACAACAACTAAGGATTTCGTGGATACCATGTTGGAGATTATGAAGTCAGGAGAAACTTCATTTCAGTTCACTCGTGAACATGTCAAGTCTGTTATGCTGGTAATTATACTTTTCACTTATCATATGTGGCATATTACTTTAATTCCTAGTGTACACTAACTTAACTTTTCACTTTTTGCTTTAATTTATAGGATATGCTTATAGCTTCATTGGACACATCGTCGTCTGTAATAGAATGGACCATGTCTGAACTCCTTCGACATCCAGAAATAATGAAGAAAGTAAGGGAAGAATTAGAGACTCAAGTGGGGCTTGATAGGATGGTGGAGGAGAAAGATTTGGAGCAATTGGAATACTTAGAAATAGTCATTAAGGAATCATTAAGGATGCATCCGGTTGTGCCGTTACTTCTCCCTCACGCATCTATAGAAGATTGTGATGTTGATGGCTTTCATGTGCCTAAAAATTCTAGAGTTACAGTGAATGTTTGGGCAATTGGTCGTGATCCAAGTGTGTGGAGTGATCCAGAAAAATTCATTCCGAAAAGGTTTAATAAAGGTAATATTGGATATAGAGGTCAAGATTTTGAACTTCTTCCATTTGGGTCGGGGAGGAGAAGCTGCCCTGGAATGCAACTTGGAATAACCGTGGTTCGACTTGTGGTAGCACAACTGGTCCATTGCTTTGATTGGAATCTTCCAAATGGATTATTACCCAAAGATTTAGACATGACAGAAGAATTTGGATTAGTGCTAAGCCGAGCAAATCATTTGATGGCTATTCCTACTTATCGATTACACATTTAATTTGTTGTGTGTCTATTACCTTGAAATTGTCTCGTTTTCAATAAACATGTATTCGTAGATTGCAATTTTGTATTCTAAAATCCACTCAACTCTCGTGGATTTTAATTTTGTGTTACACCAAGCACCAACTTATTACTTAATGACATGTTTTCTTTCAAACTTATTATGCAAGAGTCGTTTGTCTTACCAATTTTGAACTGCTTCTCAATTAAATATGAGTTGCTCATGAAGATGCTAGTGTTAAATAATCCTTTATGCGCTATAACTTAAATGCGGAAGCACAATTAACAATGATCGCATGTAAATCAAATCAATCAACTAAACAATGTTCATGATCATGGACTTTTAATTAAATGGAAAAGATAGAACTTACTTGGCTCCATTGAAGAAGTAATCTCTAAATTGAATGAATCAAGAATATAATGCTTCACCTCTCTGATCCGTATTCCTTAATCACCTCCTGATGATACGGAGACTAGAAAACTTAGAGATTTGAAACTTTTAAGATCCCTAGAGTTTTCCTGGGTATTTATAGATGTGATGAGAAACCCTCTTTCAAGAGGAATGGGGAACCTCCTTTAGAAATAGAAATCCCTTTAGGAATGTGACCTCCTTTCAGGAATAGAAATTCCTTTAGGATTGTGAGACCCATAACCTTATCCAGTATACATCTTTTAACCCTTATAAACTTAAATTTTAACATAATGAGAGGGAGGGAATTTCACCCAGTAATTCCGCCTTTACACATCACTAATCATCAACGTGAGTACCTTATGGAATTACAACCTTTATTATATAAATCATTGTTAGGAAATAATTATTTCTAACAATCTCCCACTGATTCATATGAGCATGACACCTTAATTATATGAATCAACGTTAGGAATAAATTATTTCTAACAATCTCCCACTTGATTCATATATGCGTGACTTTACAATTTTCAATCCTTAATTTGAGCTCACTTAATATGAAAATGTAAAAGTCACCACCTTATCAAACTTTATTAACCGAATCATGGCGGTTACAGGCCTGACATAGCGTCCCGCTCCCTTCCATGTATCACAGTTAATAAGAATTCGAACCATAATAATAAGGTAAAATCCGAAAGTACCTTATTCCTTATGTCTTAAACAAGACCATTGTTATCACTTTTGAATTATGCATAAATAAGTGATCAACATCAACCACAACAAAATCAAAACCTGAATAGATATCTAAGAGTATCATCAACCTGATGTGCTATCAAACATAAATCCATACATGTATGACAGAGTTAACCGTTATACAAGGACTTTACCAGTATGCCCATCCTTCCAACATGGCCAATGAAGGTCGTGGGCGCCAATCCCTTAGTCAACGGATCCGTGATCATAAGATCGGTGCCAATATGCACTATTGATACTCTTTTGATTTTGTACCTTCTCCTTAACAGACAGAAATTTCAAATCCATGTGCTTGGCACCACTAGTATATCTGTCGTTCTTTGAGAAAAACATAGCTGCTGTATTATCATAATGAATCCTCAATGAAATTACGCAGCCATGATTATTGAATTATAGCCTCAAAGCATGCTACAAATTCTGCCTTTATAGTGGATATAGCAATGACAGGCTCCTTCACACTCATCCAAGATATTGCTCCATGAGCAAGTGGAAAAAATATATTCGAATGTGGATTTTCGGGTATCCAAACATCCGGCAGAGTCTAAATCCGAATAACCTATAACCTCCAGGTTATTCGTTCCTTTTATGGGTGAGCATGTGGTCCTTAGTGCCTTGTAAGTATCACAGGACCCTCTTTGCAGATTTCCAGTTTATATCTTCCTAAAACTTTGTTAATGTGAGTCTTCTAAGATGAACCTAAAATCCCATGTGATCTATCACGGAATATTTCTTATTCCAATCACATATGAAGTCTCACTCATATCCTTCATTTCAAAGTTCTTAGAAAGATATTCCTTAATATCACGCAACATCCCTTTATTATTAGCAGCAAGAAGAATGTCGTCAACATGTAATACTAGGATTACAAGCTTGCTTCCATTAAACCTTTATGTAGATACACCGATCAACATGATCTCTACAAAACCAAATGACAATTTCAAGTACCATTGTCTAGAAGCATGTTTTAATCCATAGATCGACATCTTCAATCTACATACCAGATTTTCCTTTCCTGTGGCCATGAAGCCTTGTGGCTAATCCATGTATACTTCCTCTTTTAATTTACCATTCAGAAAGGCGATTTTAACAACCATTTGGTGGAGCTCAAGAAAAGAATAAGCCACCAAAACCAAAATAATTCTCAAGGAGAATTATTATCCTGTATGGCTTGGTTAAATGAGACTGGATAATTATCAATGCTCAAGTCACTTTCATGCTCAAGTGCATAAACAATATAGTCATCAGGAATGGCTGATCTTTTCTATCTAGTAGATCTCCTTAATGCCACTTCTTGCTGAGACTTCACTTGATCATCATCTTGAGTTTCAACCTCATCTTCATTTACAATAGCTTCATCATGTGGAATTTGAGCATCTAGTTGTTGCTGTTCCAAAGTATTTCCATAAGGCTACACTGCAGTGCAGCAATAGGAACAACAACAGGAAAAAGGATCACTTGATGAATCTGTAACCATCAATGACTCCTTAATCTCAACATTACGAGCTCCCACACTCCCACTGACTTCGCCATTTTAAATGAAGCAAGCATCGCCAGACTCAACAATCCTCGTACTTATGATTAGGACAATAAACATGTACCCTTTGAACCTTTCTGGATATCCAATGAAATAACCACTAATGGTTCTGGATTCCAATTTATTTTCATGTGGATTATATATCATCACTCCAGCTTGACAGCCCTAAATGTGAAGATGCCTCAAACTAGGTTTCCTTCTTGTCCACAGTTCATAAGGTGTTTTAAAAAAAACAGCCTTACTAGGAAACCTATTGAGTAAGTATGCTATTGTCTTTAATGCATATATCCACAATGAAACAAGCAATGTACAGTTATTGACCTTACTCCTAATCATTTCCCTTATAGTACGATTTCACCTTTCTTCCACACCATTTTGATGTGGTGTGCCTAGCATTGTGTATAATGCACAAATGCCCTTAGATTCGAGGAATTTCTTTAAATGGACCGAGAATTTGCCCAACTTTTGATGTTTTCCCATAATACTCATCACCTTTATATGATCTAGTTGTCTTTACCTTTCTATTTAACTGACTCTCAACTTCAAATATGAATGTCTCTGGGACATCCACAGACTGAGATCTTTAACGCAGTAAATAGATGTAACAGTACCCAGAATGATCATCAATAAAGGTAATAAATTATTTATCACCGCTCCAAGACGGATCATCAAAAGAGACCACAGATATCTGTATGTATTAAATCAAGTAATCATGAGCTTCTTGTGGCTGAGTGTACTGATACATGTCTGACTTGCTTTACCTTTATGCATTCGACACATGCATCATTCCAGTCATTAAAATCCAATTGAGACAAAATTCCAACTTTAATAAGTCTCAATATCCTTTATATATGACAAAGCCTTTTATGCCACAAGTCAGTTGAAGATTCTTTTGGCACACTCCTTTTAACACAAACATCACATTAAACAAGGAATTAACAAAATCATCATTAAGATTGAAACAGTATAGTGTATCCAACAAAACACCATAACCATGAAGGTTTTTGTTGATACAAACATTTGTTTCCAATCTTAAAGTAAAAACTCAATGTTTCCAACCTAGCTGTTGAAACAAGATTTCTAGAACAATTTGGAACATACAGACAATTCTCAAGATCAAGGCAAAAAACCTGTATCCAGCTTAATTCTGTAAGTTCCAATACCTTCAATTCTAGCTTTCATCATGTTTCCCATGAAAAAGACACTTTTCATTTTCCATGTGAGGTTAAAACATTAAAAAATCTTGCTTAATGTTATAAACATGTGTTGTAGCACCAGTGCCTAACCACCAAGTATTAGAAGGAACCTTAACAAGATTGGATTCAAAGCATACTGAAACTGAATGTATACTTTTATTTCCATCCAAGCTTTCCTCTTCCGGCATTCAGCCTTCTTGTGCCCAGGTTTGTTACAGAATAGCATTTCTGCACTTTCTGAACATCACCTTGCACCTTCATAGGATGCTTGACCTTCTTTTTTTTTTTTTTTTTTTTTTTTAAACTTGCTGCTATTACTACTGACATCAGAACTGTCACCATTATAGCGTGATATTATAGTGTTCACTGCGAACATTTATCTCACATATCAATTTCTTTGAGTAACAAACATTTATTCAGACTATAATTTATAGACCTTAAGTTTGCATTTAAATCCGCCTTTGGGTCAAATTTAAATACAATGTCAATTTACCGACATGCATCATTCCCACATACTTGAATGAGACTATTTATCAAGTTTCAATTTAATATATAGGCCATCTTTGGACATGCACTACATATTAACAAAACAAGAATCATAATCTCCTAAATTGTCATTAATCACATGTCTAATCTACCTTTGGACAACCGCTAGAACCATGTGTTAATGATCACAAATGTTTATCAATCCTTTAGTGTCATTCAATGATGCAAAAACCTGTGTACGTGGCAGGGTTGTCGAAGCCCTACAAATTTAATACTGGCTCACTCCACTAATTTGTAGTAGTGGCAAGACCAGGTCGAATCCCAAGAGAACTAATGAATTTTGTTTCTTTAATTAAAATAAAATGACTAAAAGTAGGGAAAATTGGGGGATTTGAGAAGAATAAATAAAATAAACAATAATTAATAACGAGTTCAGAGATGTTGAATTCTGATTCAAGGGGAAATGAATTTTAAAGATGTGACTCAGATCATCGGCTCTTAAAAATTAAATTAGATTTAAGTACTTAGCCAAAGACTAATTAGGATAGCCGTAACTAGTCTTTGTTCTCCCTAAATTAATTGATTCAAATTAAGCATTCAAACCAACAATTGTTATTGAATAAACTGGGGATGATCGCGTTCCATATTCACCCAATAACATCATTACACTTTGATGGAAAACAACTAAGCCTAAATCACAGATTGAGATAGCTACAACCTGCAACTTAG